TTGCAGCTTAACTTGCTTTTCCCTGTGTTTAGTCCCCAGTCCTGACTTCAGTTTCCATGCTGATGAGTTCCTGGAAGTCTATGTCTCTGCTTCTGAACATCCTAACCACTTCTGGATTCAAATCATTGGCTCTCGAAGCCTGCAGTTGGATAAGCTTGTCAATGAAATGACCCAGCACTATGAGAATAGTCTGGTGAGGTGCCACAGGGACAGGGCTGGATGTGATGAAAAGGGGCATATCCTTTTCATTGTGGTATATTCTCTTCCTTTCCTGTGGATCAACTACTCGTTCGTTCTTCTTTCTGATATTGCCTGTTTATTTTTTAGCCTACCCCTTTCTAATTCTACCCCCTCCTGACCCCTTATCCTCATGTGTAGCCCGAAGACTTGACTGTGCATATAGGAGACATCGTAGCAGCACCTTTATCTACAAATGGTTCCTGGTATCGAGCCCGGGTCCTTGGCACCTTAGAGAATGGGAACTTGGACCTCTACTTTGTTGATTTTGGAGATAATGGGGATTGCCCACTGAGGGACCTCAGGGCACTCAGGTCAGTGTTGGGGCCAGGGTAAAATCAGGCTGGAGTGCCAACTTTTTAAAAAATATATTTTATTTTTGATTTTAGAGAGAGGGGTAGGGAGGGAGAAAGAGAGAGTGAGAAACATCATTGTGAGAGAGAAACACCAATCACTTGCCTTCCATACACACGCCAGGGGACTGAACCTGCAATCCAGGTGTGTGCCCTGACCAGGAATTGAACTGGCGACCTTTTGGTTCATGAGACAATGCCCAGCCATCTGAGCCACACTGGCTGGGGCAGAAGTGCCAACTGTTGACTCAACCCTGGCCACAGGGTGTTGAGCTAGCTGTTTGTACTCATCACTAGGGGAATTTGGGAGAACCTATTTACACAGCAGATTATCTTCCCCCACTGAGTTAGTGCTATCTGGAAGCAAGGAGTATAAGAAGGCCCTTCTGGCACTAGGAGTCTAATTTCAATTTCTTTCACTTTAGGAGTGACTTTCTAAGCCTTCCATTTCAAGCAATAGAGTGTAGTCTGGCACGGATCGCCCCCTCAGGTAAATTGGTCACAACACCTATTAACCTTGTCTCCAAATAGAATAACTTTAATACAACACATGGGAGGAGTTCTCACATTTCCAAGGCTTTTTGAGTTCAAGGGGCTCAGTTGTCTTTTCCTCACCAGCACCAGGAATCAACAGCCAGAAACTTGCCTAGCAGTCAGACATAGGTGCCTTCTGGAATGGAAAGAGGTAGTTTGATTCACTCTAGGGTATAATCCCACCCCCATCAGCACTGTCCCCTTCTTAGGCTCTCCCAACAATCTTTTGCCAGGTGAACAATGGGAAGAGGAAGCTTTGGATGAGTTTGACAGACTTACTCACTGTGCTGACTGGAAGCCTCTGGTGGCCAAGATCTCTAGCTATGTCCAGACTGGTATCTCAACTTGGCCCAAGATCTATTTATATGATACTAGCAATGGGAAGGTAAGATTGAGGTTCAACTCATTGCTTACTGGCTCTTTAGTGTATTTATAGCCTCATTTACTTTTTCTTTTCTTTTTAGATTTTATTTATTTTTAGAGAGGGAAAGGAAGGTAGAGAGAGAGAAAGATCAATGTGTGGTTGCCTCTTGAGCACCCCTTACTGGGGACCTGGCCCGCAACCCAGGCATGTGCCCTGACTGGGAATCGAACCAGTGACCCTTTGGTTCGCAGGCTGAGACTCAATCCACTGAGCCACACCAGCCAGGGCTCGTTTACTTTTTCTTTCCCAGAAACTCTATCTGATGATACTCCTAATTCGTAAGATCCTGCTTACCATCTCACCAAAGGAATGTCTTTCAAATATCAATCCTCGCTCTTCCGCCCTGTTTCCTCAGATATGCCCTTCCTTACAGAGAGATCATTCCCTTTTCATTTTTCTCCTCAGAAACTTGATATTGGGTTAGAATTAGTTCGTAAAGGATATGCAGTTGAGCTTCCTGAAGACATGGAAGAAAACAGAACTGTCCAAGACGTGTTGCATGATGCGGTGAGTGAGCTATTGCAGTTACTGAGAGTGTCTCTTTGGGGCAAATCTCAGACCTTAAGAAACATGAGAGCTTCTAGACATGCCTGACATTTTGTAGAGAGCTTTTCTGGCGTATAAAAGGAGGCACTGTGTCCCTCTCAGCAACCAAACTCAACTGCCTAAACCAGATCCTGGGAGCAAAATGACAGAGTGGCTTTTTCCTTCCCACCAGCCAATACATTTCTTTTTCTCTTGTTTACATCCTCTCAGGCCACAGAAACAGATGTTTCTCTCAGCAGCCTGCTCACTGAGACCAAGAAAAGCTCTGGAGAGATGGCAAATACCCTGTCTTGCCTCAGCTTATCAGGTACAAACAGCCTTTCTTCCCTAAAGCATCTTTGGAAATTACCATTTCTCGATCAATCTCTCCAAACTAGGGAGCTTGTTAAGGCTTGCCTCTTAACCAAGGTGGTCATTGAGCATCCCTGAGCTTCAGTGGCAACGCCTGATAGATTAGGGCAATGTCTAACTCTCTCCTCATTTCTGCTGTGTAGAAGCTGCCTCTATGTCTGGTGATGATAATCTTGAAGATGACTACCTAATCTGAAGGCTGCTGCAGCTGCCTCAGCCATCTGCTTTGCTGTGTGAGTGGAACTATCATCTGCCTGTAGCAACTGGGAAAGGAATGAGGGTGACAATAGGGGCCTTGCTATACTCTTTCTTCCCCCATAGACTATCTAAATAGTACTTTTCTGCAGCTGCTTTTCTGTAGCTTAACTTGCTCTCAGATTGAGCCCTTTCAAGCTTTTTGTGTCCTTTTTTTTTGACAGGATTTGGTGCCTGGAGAGAGGAGCCTATGATAAAGAGATCTGTGCAGTTCTTCCTTTATTTCACAATCGGGCTTGCTGTGGACTAAATGCATTTTCTCCTTCCATGGGATGATCAGAAAGAGTGTGGGGTAGAGGGAGACAGACACATGTTCCAACTCCGTCCCACACCAACGTCTCTTCCAGTGTTTGAATACTGCTGCATTATGTCCAGGCTGCTCAACATCTGGCTTGTTCCCCTCAGCCAGTCTGAATGCATACTCCTGCTAGGCTTTGTCCTTTTTGAGGCTGGGAAGCAGCCAGGATTTGGTCATCGGAAGTGATGATTCTGCACACTTTTGACTCACCTTCTCAGGTGATGCTGGTTAAGGAAAGTTTTTGAGTGATGAACTCAAAGACTGCAGTTGAGTCAGGAAACAAAGGCAAAAATCAGCATATTTTTATTAAAAAGCCTCAGAAAGTAGGGAAGAGAATGCTGTCTCTCATCCTTAATTGCTGATGCTATTGGAGAAGGGTTTTTTGAAAACAGTGTTCCATCTATTTTCCTGTACACTTTGGTTAAAATATAAGCAAGGGAAGAGGCATCTCAGGAAATATTCTAAATTGCTAGTATAACATCTATAAAATATACACATACTCCCCGCCCCCCACCAAAGAGAGAGCACTTGTATAGTTGTTTAAAGCATTTGAGAGATTCTTTGCTGAATAAAGTTCTCAAAAAATTCTCTAAAACTAAATAGAGGTTGAATCACAAGGTGGAAGCAGGCCTATGGGTGTCTTCTGAACCTAAATCTGGTGTAAATTGTGAACACCTCACATAGAGGGACCCATTTGTGAACAAGTGCTCCTCCCAGGTATTTCCCTAAAGTTACCAGGAACAACTTAGGTTTGGGTTGTGTAAACAAGACCCCACCTAAGTTTGGAAGAAAAGGCCTGGATTAGGATTGTAGAAACCTAGGTCTAGAAATAGACCTCTGAAATTTAGGGAGCCTATTTCTCAACAGCCTCTCTCCACTCCTAACAGTATTGTGAGGATCCAGTGAAAACTGTAGAGGTGTTTCAAAGTAAATATAAATGTAGTATGGGTAGTAGAATAATGGTAAGTGAACTTTTTTTTTTTAAAGGATCAGCAAAGTAAACTGGAAAACGTGAAATTAGCACGTAAAAATACCTTTTCTAAAAATGTAGGAATGAGTGATCTAGGTCTATCCATATACATGGCAACTCTACATTCCCATTGCGACAATTTTTAAAATTTATTTTCTCAGAAAAATCTCAGTGCCTGTTAGCAGACATGTTCCCATGAAGGAGCAGCTCTGATGAGCAGTTTTAGAAAAAAAATCAGTGAAGAGCTGCCATTGACCTTTCATGGCTTGGCCCTGCAGTTGGAGCCACTCTACAGCAAGGTCTTGAGGTCACTTAACCTCCACTTTCCTCAGCTCCTGAGCTTTTACTGTTAAGTAGAGAAGAACCACTATTGTAAATCGTTCATAAGGCTTCTTGCTGTGGAAAAGGAGTGGTGTCTCATTCCTAGCTGCAGTTTGCTACTACTATGTATAAAAGTTTGTTCCTTTAATGTGGCCTTTAAATCTTGTCTGTTTATATCCCATTCTGATGGGTTCCTTATTCTTCCAACACAACCTTGTATGTTTCCTGCTGTCTGGAATGCCCTCCTCTATGCTTCCTACTTGTTATTTTCTCTGTTGAAACCCCTGAGTCAAACCTGGGGGACCCATGTGCCTTCTCTGATCTCCACATCCAAAGAGAAGGAATTAGCACTTGTCTCCAATTTGAACTGAAAAACATAAATGAAAGTCTCCCAATAGGCTTGGTTCTTGCTCCTGGCAGGTGCTCAGTAAATGGTTAGAATAAATGGGGAAATGAGTTTGGGGTGAGGGAAAAGTAAAAGGAGCCTAAAATCCTTGGGTTCCTTTACCAATGGAAAAGATCAGCCATTAAACGTTTCTCCTACGGTGGGCCCATGTTCCACTGCAGTCGATCCTACCTTCCCCCCAAGAAACAGTGAACACGAGGATTGCACTACCCTTTATTCCTAGGATAGAAGAAGGTGTCCCAAATCACATCCTGGGTCCCATTTATCAAGGCCCCCAGCCCCTCACAGAGTAGGAATAAGCATGTTCAGGGAGGGTCACTGGGTAGGTGGTCCAAGTCCCTTTCAAGGGGATACACCATAAAGATGGCATTGTCCCAGGGAGGGAGGGCAGGGTGACCTGGTCTGACCAACTCAAAGCCCATGTAGCTGAAGGCCCGTAGTAGAGCACCTGTGAAAGAAGAGAACAAATTAGACATTCAGAAACTCATACCACTATTCTCCCCCACTCCCCCACCCCCTGATTCGGTTTTTCCATTAGGGAATTGCTGTGGGGAGAGCAGTGTAGTGCAGGCATTGGGATAAGACTAACCTTGGCTTTAATGTTTGCTTTGCTTTATGACATCCTATGAATTAATCCTTCTGAACTTCTTCCCATTTGTAAAATGGGGACTATAGAACCTTCATAGAATTTAAAATTAAGATGTTTATGAAGTGCCTAACAATGATGGTGGTGTACACTCTTCACTATCCTTTGTCTTACATCCAACAGGGTATCAAGTCCTTGAGGGACGAGATTGTAGCATGTGCTCCAAGCATATAGTTAAATATATTCCTGTCCTGGCCTTATGGGCATTATGCCCAACACTTTCATACTCTTGGTGTTTAATACATGATATCCTTTCTGTCCTACCAGCCAAATCCCTTGAATGGATTCTGTAATTTCACTAGTGCTATTTTAGTCTGGCTTCTGAAATCTAGCTGCAGGGACTTCCTAATGTAACTTGTCCAGTTGTAACTTGAACAGGGGTAACCTGAAATGTTTGAAGCATGCTTTTTTTTAAAGAGTTTGGGAGAAGAGGATTTTTTAAAAAGCAAAAGTCACTATTAGCTGCTTCAGCACGCAGGGCCAAGGACAGCAGATCCTCACCCCTGTCATTCCGGTTGTTTTGGAAGTTTACAAACACGGAATCCACATTGGTTTTTTCCTCCACGTACTCCAGTGTGGCAGTCAAACTAGGAGCCAGGGAGAAAAATCTTGGTTAATGAAATGTTTAGCAAACTCAGAATCTGAAAGAAATCTTATTCATCAGTTTTTGCTACCCAAGCCATGAAATGAAAGTTGCTAAACTAGTTTTGATAGGTTTTTCTCTGAAACCAGAGGGGTTGCATACTATGAGACTGGATGGCATCTGGGGAGAAGGGACCACTCTGTAAAGTCAACAACTGGAAACTATGTCCTATTCAACTGTTTATGGATCCTCACTTCTCTGTTTCTGACTCTGAATTTAGCAACCCTCTATGGGCTATTACCCCTTGAGCCCCAAATCCAGGCTGGCTCACAGGCCTGTCTGCATGCCAGTTCAGTGGTTTGATGCTATCCCCCTCCTGAATCAGCCCTTAGCAGCATACCCAGTACCTGATGATACGATAAAAGAGTGAAACCCCAACTCTTCCCTCACCACTCTCCCATGCAGGCTGTCACCTTTCCTGGTTCCCTTGATCCAAGGCCCGATATGGGATATCCAGGAAGAGTCGATGGTCACAGAGAAGGCCGTGCCAATGGGCAGAGGTCTGAGGGGTGAGGCGGAAATGGAAGTCTAACTGCACAGGGTCCTGGTGGGGCAGGGGGTCAGTAGCCAGCACCGTCAAGTTCCCAGCCTGGAAAAGGAGTACAAATGAGAGCAACAGTCTCCTGCTTTTATGTGCAGCTAGTGCTCACGTACCAGATCTCAGACCTATCTGGGTATCTTGGGAAGCAAGGAGAGGAGGCTGATGGAGAGCCTGGGAGAATTGAAGCCAAGGTCTTATTCAACAATATATATCCCTTAGCCCTAGGACCGAACTCCCTCTCTGTCATGGAGTTCTCAGTAGCAAACATCTGAAATCTGGATTCAGAGGCCAATGCAAGATTACTGCCTGCTAACCTCACCTCAGGGTGCACTATCCCTTTAGAAACTGACATTTACATCAGAGAGCTTATTTAGATAAAACTGTGCCATCTGTTTACTGTCTCAATAATACTCTTCCACTTTTTTCTATCATATGAGTTTACTCTCAATTCTCCCATTTCTCATCTAAAATGCAAAGGTCACACACAAGCATGTTACTGCAAAATGATACAAAGGCAAGTGCAGGAGTTTTGGGTTCTAGTCCAAGTTAGCATCTGAACAGCCTTATGTCCTAAAAGTCTTTTATTACAGTCTGTTCTTTGTTCCCATTTCTGCTATCCTTATCTGTAAAGCAAGTAGCTTTTACACATGAGCTTTGACGTCTCATCTTGCTCTTTCTATGCTTTATTTTTCCAACTAGCTAGTGTACAAGGTATCATTACAGCAGGCATGGGACTGCCAGGCACTTACTGAATACAATTCTTTAAGCTGGTCAAGGTCACCCTGGTCGGTGCTTCTGCCCATCTGGGGGCCTACTGGGGACTCAGGAGCACTGAAGACAGGAACGGGGCCGGAGTGTCAAGTCCTCCCGTTCCTTATAAATGATGCTGGTTGGGAAAAAGAGGTCCAAATTAGTTTATCTCTAAGTCTGAGATAGAAAAAGGGTCAGAACTTCCAGGAACACAGGACCAGGCTCTGGCATTATCTTCTTTATCTTCCCTAGACCAGTCTGTTTCCATTTTCCCAAGCCAGCCAGTGGGAAAAATTCTTAATTCCCATGCCAGCCTTTCACCCTATTTTGCTATTATCATCTCTTGCCACTTGAGAAGTTATTTCAAAATCTCTTATTTTTCCTTACAGTCTACATAAGCAACTACAAGTAGAGATGAAAACAAGTACCTTTTGTAACAAGGCAGCATTTTCTCCCGGAGGGTGATCCGGTACTTGTAACAGTAGAGATAATAGGCGTATGGTGACCAGATTGGATAGAGGTAGTTCCGTGTTTTTCCCCTCTTGATATAAGAAAGGGAGTAGAAAGAGGGGCGGCACCTGTTAGAAGGCAGTTTCTCAGTTCAGTGCCCCCTGTGGCAAAGTGAGGTTCAGAGATGGGTGACAAAGGTTTAGGCAACCTGGTGCCATTGTGACCTGGTGGGCACTATGACATAGACAAGGAATCAGCCCTGATGTCATCTCAGGACTCAGCTGCTCCCCTAACTGGCCCTTCCCCTTTAGCCAAGTATGCACTTCATAACTGGGCCAGTGGTGAACAGCCCTGCCTGAGCATTTGTTGTGCCCACGCAGCCTCCCCACAACACACACACACAAGCACCACTTCCCCTAAATTTCTGCAACCAACAGGTTAGTGTCCAGGGTCTGACCTGATTGGTTGGTTCCTGGCTCCTATCCATTCAGTATTTTCATTATCACTCCTACCTTTAACAACCCAAGGGTGCAACACATATTTAAATTTTCTAATTGCCTTGTAGAGTAGGAATTTCAAACTCTCTCCAGGGGTCCTGCCAGCTAAAGGAAATTAGTGGAGCCGCTGGGTAGGGCTGTAGCCAAATGGAAAGCTTACACCCTTTCTCAAGCCAACACAACTCAGTTCCATCCATCCAGTTGCCATGCAGGAATGCAGACTGTGTGGTACCAGAGTGTATGATTTTTCTACAGAAACTGGAAAGATTTTTGTGGTAAATTTCCCCAATTTTTAAAGTTGAGTTAAAAAACTCAAAAGATTTTTTTTTAAGTAATATTGTGAGTAAAACTTGGTTCTGGGGCCACCAGTTTGAGACCTGTGCATATTCCTTCATCCAGTCAACAAATATTGAGGGCCTGCTATGAGTCAGGCACTCTTCTAGGTGCCTGGGTTACATCAGTAAACAAAGATCCCTGCCCCATGGAACGTAACTTCTAACAGTGAGAAAACAAACCTAAATGATAAGGGTAAGAAAATAATATGTTAGAAGATATTATTCTATGAAGAAAAATAGAGCAGGATAAAGGAGAATCAGGAGTGTAAATGGGATGGGGCAAGTTGCAGTAATCCAAGTACTGCAACTGAGTGATCCAAGTAGGCCTCACTGAAAAGGCGACAATCAGAGTTGAAGGAGGTGAGGAAGGCATAAGAGCATTCCATCCATGTCTACACAACAACCAGCGCAAAAACCCTAAGGAGGAAATGTAACTTGTTTTCAAGAAACAGCAAGACCACTGTCGGCAGAGCAGCGTGAGCTGTAGGAGAGGAGAGGGAGGTGAGGTCAGAGAGCTATCAGACCAGATCATATATGGCCTTACAGACCATCATATGGACTTGTTTAAGTAAAGGAGGATGTCTTTCCAAAGTTTTGGCTGGAAGAGCGACATCATCTGTCTCATTCTTAAAAAGATTCTGACTGATAGAAACTGTAGAGCATTAAAGGGAGAATTGTCAGGAAGACAATTGCAGTAATCCAGGCAAAGGGTAGTTAGTATCTTATTCCAGGGTGAAGCATTAAAGGTGATGGGAAGTGGTAAGACACTAAACAGTTTAAAAGCAGAACCCACAGGATTTCCTGGCGTATGAAAGAAGTTAAGCCCAAGAACTGAAAGAACAGCTTCCATCAACTGAGATGGGAAAGTCTCCAGGGAGTTTGGGGTCTGGAGATAGAAATTGGTTTAGTTTGGAGCATGTTAACTTTGAATAGTCCATTAGACACGTAGGGGCAAGAGGACAAATAAGCAGTTGGATATTCGAGTCCGGAGTTTAGAAGTCTAGGATCAAGATAGAAATTTGGAAGTCATTGGCAGATTAATAGTACTTTAACCCATGAAGCTGAACGAGATTGTCAGGAGTGTATATAATGAGAAGAGTAAAGATCCAAACACTGAGTCCTGGGGGCATTCTAAGGGAGAAAAGGTGAAATCAGCAAAGGTGACTGGAGAAAGCTGGTTTAGTAGAAAGAAAACAAAAATAAAACTGGTGTCCCGGAAGGGAAGTAAAGAAAGTATATTGAGGAGGGACAACGGGTCAAAGGCCATTTATGGGTCAAATAATATGATGCACAGAGCATCTTTCCATAATTTCCTCTGCCAAACAGACCCCATTGATTCCATTTATCGGATTTTCTCTCTAGTACTGAGCCCCTCCATAGTTTCCTTTTTCTATGGCTTCTCTCCCTGACTTAGATTTAAATATTATCTTAAATACCGCAGTTGTAAAGATTAAGAGATGATTCATGGGTTGTCATAGTTTTCAAGAGGAATTCATCCTTTCACCACCTTAGATAGATATGAAGTAAGAAAATGTAAGAGCAGCAGCCCTCTTCTCTTGATATCCAGTTTATCAACTGTCAGAATTGGAAGCGACTTCAGAGAACTACACAGGGCAAAGACAACAGGGAGGCAATATCTTCTCCGTGTCAGTCCACCTAACATCATTCCATTATGTGTCAGTGCAACGGGCGTCCCTCCCCCGAAAAGAAACAGAAGGGAGAAAAACGCTGAATCGCGGAGCATCAACTCGGATCTCTGGCCTCCCGTCCCCGGGGAGGTAGAGAAGCCGCAACCCAACCACGCTGCGCCTTCCCTTCGGCTCCGCCAGGACGCGGCTGCGCCGCCTCAGGCGCGCCGCGGGCACCTGGCGGGGGCCTTCCCTGCGCCGGCGCCGGCCGCAATCAGGTCCCCTCCACGCCCGGGAACATGGCGGCCCCTATTGCAGTCCCGGGCCGGGCTCTCCTGCGGGCGGCCGCTGAGCGACTTGTGCGAGGAGGAGTCCGGGTGCTGCTCCGGCCGCTACTCGAAGTGGGGACCCCCGGCCTGGAGCGCAGCTTCACCCTCTCTCACTGTCGGGTGAGGGCCAGGTCTGGGTGCCGGAAACCTTGACTCTAGTTGGGGCCCTTTACGCCCTGAGTCTCGTTTCTGGGGGCGTGCTTAGACGTAGCGGGCTCTCCTGGAGGGGCGGACGGTGGGGGGTCAAGGGCCTCTGCGTGAAGACTCGCTCACCCTCGCTCTCCGGCCGCCAGAGCACGGTCATCGTGGAGCGCTGGTGGAAGGTGCCGCTGGCCGGGGAGGGACGAAAGCCGCGTCTGCACCGGCGACATCGCGTCTACAAGCTGGTGGAGGACACGAAACACCGGCCCAAAGAGAACCTGGAACTCATCCTCACGCAGTCGGTGGAGGGTAAGGCCCGGGCACAGGTACTTCTATCTCAGGCTGGTTCTGCTTAGCATCAACTCTTTCCTGCCCCCTCAGCTGTTTGTTGCCCTTTCCTACTTTGTGGAAAAGATTAGCTCTGTATTTGAGAAGAGAAAGCCATACAAAGTACTGTGATTGTGATATTGGCCTCCTGCATGGAAAATTAGGAGTGCAGGAACATCATTAAGTGCGTGTGCCGGAGAGGACTACGTGCCACAGATACTGAAATCCTGTGATAGGACAACGCTTCACTTGGTACCGGGAATATTAAGTGTCTAAGTCATGCCCTCAAGAAACTAATTAGAAGTCTCTTAAACGTTGTTCCTAGTGAATATCAACATTTCTTCTAGGAAGAATACGAACTGAGAGAATGAGAGGAGCCGCTATCTTTGATCATCTTCTCCTTAATCAGTGACTCTTAGCTAGTTCTGACCCAGTGTCTCTGTTCACTTTGGCAGAGCTTGGAGTTCGGGGTGACCTGGTTTCAGTGACGAAATCTGTGGGCCGTAATCGACTGCTTCCTCAAGGTCTGGCTGTATATGCATCCCCTGAAAACAAGAAGTTGTTTGAAGAGGAGAAATTGGTGAGCTCAAAGAAAAGCAGAGGGAGGAATAAAACCTTAAGATTTCCTCTAGCAACTTCAGTCCTTTTTATATTTAATTTGAAAATGAAGTGGGAACTAGAACAGGAATTTAGAAAACCGATCTATGCCTAGCATATTAATAGTTTATTATTATTTAGTATGGACTCACCTTTTTTTCCTTTTGTTCTTTCTCTTTTTTTCTTTTCTTTCTTTCTTTCTTTTTTTTTTTTTTTTGTTTTTTGTTTCCATCCTTAACTTTCTTTTCTAGCTAAGACAAGAAGGAAAATTAGAAAACATCCAGACAAAGGCAGGTGAGGCGGTGAGTACAAACATAGAAAGTCTTTATTTATTGGATATCTACAGGAGTGTCCAACCTCTTCCTGAGAGGTTCTTTGATTTCCCTGAAGTCTCTTGATTGCAGGCACAAGGGTAGAGAAAAGGGGAAGAGTTGTGGCCACCATGACTAGTATTGAAACCTCCTGGGAAATCCTGACCAGTTGCGTGAAGTGCCCTAGCTTACTGTGTGAGGTCCCAGCCTGGGCACCAGGGGACCCATGAAAGAGTGTGAGATGAAGGCTCTGCCTCAGGAATATTTACAGACAAGTTGGAAAGAATGTAAACACATGTAAAAGTGATTAATAAACTCAAGATGGTAAATTATAAGAGTGACATGGACCAGAATGGATTAGGGTGATTTAGAGAGGGCTTTTTTCCAGGGTGATTTAGAGAGGGCTTTTTCCCAGATGGGCTTGAATTAGACCTTGTGGGGTTAGTAGGGTTTGGTTAGGCCAGAAGGGTGTAAAAGGTATTCTTAAGGGGGAAAAAAGTATAAGAAGATAGTTAAAGCATGCTTTAACGTAGAAAGTAGACTAGTCTAGCTAAAGCAAAGACCTTGTATAGTATAATAGGGAATGTATGGCTGGAAAGGGGATTGGGGCAGGATTTACAAAACATCTTGAATCCTCAGCTAGTCAATTTATACCTCATTCTGTAAGCATGGAAGAATCATTAACAGGGTAGGGGTAGAATTAAAAGGCCAAAAGTATTGGGTTAAAACAGCCTACGAAAGCCATTCCATTCTGAGATATACCAGTGGCCCCCATTGACGTGGAAACATGGCCTGTTTCTCCTTGACTTAGCAACATCTTAATATAGGGGACATTCTCCTCCAAAGTGTTACGAAAATATTTTTTCACAATATCAGCCTTGAAATAAGAATGTCCTCTCTCTTTTCCATGCATTTTCCCACCTGTCTTGGCTGTGAGGCAGAAATTGTGCCCTTTTCCTGAGCTCTCAGACCTTGTGCCTCTTGCTAACATGATTCCAACTCTTAACATATCCACTGTTCATAATTCAGACAGTGAAATTTCTGAGAAGCTGTCACCTGGAGGTGGGGATGAAGAACAATGTCAAGTGGGAGCTAAACCCTGAAATAGTTGCCCGCCACTTTCTCAAAAATGTGAGTATTCCCATATAGTACTGTATTCCTGAAGGTGGAAGCTACCTCCCTTTGTTAGGAACAGGTGTGAGTCCAGCTGGAGTTAGGGAACGTGTTCTTGGTTGGTTTGCAGGGGTGTGGGGCGGGGGATGGCTAAGAACTAAGGGTGGTCACATAGAAAGAAAAATAAGAAAACATGGTATCATTTATTTCCTCTCCAGCTAGGGAAAACCTGAGGAAATATGGCTCACTGGAGAATTTTTCTTTTGTGAATGAAGTAATTTTGGTCTCTAACCCTTTTTCTCATTGTGAATCCACCTCCCTTTCTGAGAAATTAGGGCTGAGTTTCTCTGCCACAGATACTCTGCCACTCTCTGTGGAGGTCTCTCCACTATCTGTGGCAGAGAAACTCCTGTGGGATCGGCCAGGATAGACTCTTCAGTTTTATTCATCTCTGTACAGGAAATTCTAGAACCCTCTTTATGAGGTTGCCTAGAGTGGCAGACATATAAACAGCTCCTTTTTCTATGATTTATTTTCCAGCTTGGTGTTGTGGTAGCGCCACATGCATTAAAGTTACCAGAAGAACCCATCACACGGTGGGGCGAGTACTGGTGCGAGGTGACGGTCAGTGTTCACATACTACCCCTTTTTTCTGGCTGGGTGAAAAAAGCAGGGTGAAAAGCTGGGATTGGGTGCTGTTAGCTCCTATCTGCCCAGCTGATCTCTGGGCCTTCATGTTCTTTTATGTACAGGTAAATGGGCTTGACACTGTCAGGGTTCCAATGTCTGTGGTGAACTTTGAGAGGCCCAAGACCAAGAGATATAAGCACTGGTTAGCCCAGCAAGCTGCTAACGGAATGGCTTCCACCAGCTCCCAGACGATATGAACCTACCTACTCTTCCTCAAAAGCAGCAAAGCAGAATCTGAGGCACAATGGAGCAAAGAGGGCCAGCTCTGACCAAATACTGAATTTTAGAGGGCAGATGGGGACATTGGACAAAACTGTGTATTCGTGTTAAATTCTTCATCTTGCCATCTTAATCTTCGACTGTTATCACATCCAGCCTTGTTGGCGTAGTCCTGCTCAAGAAGTACCAAGCCATAGATTTGATAAGCTGAATATTAATAGACCAAAACAGTCTAGATTCTATTTCTTCTTTCTCCATTGGAATTCACTGAAACAAATGGAAGAGCCAGCTATTATCTTTAGTACTTGGCTCATCCTCATCATCCAAACTGAACGAACATTTATGTCTCAAGAAGAAATAAAGAGGTTGTGTTCTTTTTAGGTGTTTACTGTGCTTGAGTAGACTGGGAACAGGGCATCCACATGAGATGTCCTCTTGAGCCGCTGGAGTTTGCTGCTAAAAAGGAAGGAAGAAGAGAATACATTTGCAGGTTACATCCCAAGTTGTTATGGGCAAATTACTCAACAAGCTATAATGTCTTTGCTCTTAAAACTTGCTCTCATTAGGTATATTGATAAAGTCATCAATGTGAGTAAGCACAATGGATTCTACTTTTCTAAGGCAATCGGAATTAAGGCCAAACAGTAATTGCTGGGGAAAATGAAGCTGGGATGAAAAAAACTTGAAACTTCTGTTTTGTTTTCTTGAACCAGCTAGTAAGATTTTGTAAAAGAAAATAACCTTGGTTTCCAGACCAAAGTTAAGATGGGGGCTGGTTATCAGGTAATTATGGAATAGACACCTTGATAAGAGATGAGGGAAGTGGTTCTGCATAAGTTTGAGGTCCACTAGTGGGAAAAATACCCAAATGTTGACAAATGAACATGCTAGAGTCCCTCCAAAGAAATGAGGGGTCATGTAATTCAGGAAGGATAAAGTTGGGACATTGACTCTTGCTGTCCTTATCAGAGCCTAAAGAGCTTGGTTTTTGTCAAACTATTTGAGTTAAACTACCACTCCCAGACAGTTAAGCACTTTCATTCACTTTCATCCATATGAGACCATCCTGGCTGATGAGAGGTCTGTCATCAGTAGTTGCACTGATAAATATACCCAGCCTCATACTTGCCAGCATTCCTTAATTCAAGTCTGGCACTGGTATTGTATGAAATTTGCCATTTCTATGTTCCCCGTCCCTACTGTCATTGAAATGGAAAGCCCATTTAACAGCATCTTTCCACACCACCACCATCACCATCATGAAGCTCTCTGAAATTGAGCAACAGGCACAACATTCCACACAACTAATCTCAGAGTACTTAAATATTTGCCATATGGAGAGTTCCTGGTGAAATAGACTTGAGTTGGAGATTTGCATACAGGAAGTTTACTGGGAATTTTCTGGATCAGCACCTGTGTGGGAATGAAGGAAGCAGGATTCGGTAGAGGGAAAAGGTGAGCTGATACAGTCTCAACAAAGATTTCAGTCAGTCCCACAAGGTCAAACTAGAGTGGCTCTGCAGAAATGTGTATCCTGTCGAAAGAAGGGGCCAGACCAATATACCCCACATTGACTAGGAAAGGGGCATGACAGCGTGAGGAGACTGACTTCAGGCAAAGGCATTTCCCAGAGGGGACGTCAGATGAGAACTGTCAGTATTTTCAGCAGCTTGGGAAATGACTGCTCCAGTCCTGAAGGGAGGTTTCTGGGCAGCACACCATAGTCTCCACCTCAGTTCACATCTTGCACTATTCAGATCTATTTGCTTTATAAGTTCTAGAATGATCCCTTAAGGATTCTGATTGGCCTCATTTTCTGGAAAAACTTAAAAGACAAAGGTCTGAGACACACCACAGACAGTCTCCTCTGTTGTAGCTTAAGTCTACAATTGGTACTTCTCTCCCTCCTAAACTACCCATTCCAGATTCCTACCCACAACCCCTCAGCTTGTACTTCTGCTGGTCCAAATGGGTTACCTGATAAGGTAGCCAGTCATCAGACCTTTCTCAGGATATGACTATACTTGTCCATTTATCATCAAAGTTAGGCAAAGGAGAAGCAATACATGCCTGTGTGGATGGTGTGGATCTCAAATATTATCCTTCCCTGTCCGCATTGTATAACAGCAGCTCTACCTCCTGATTTTTATGGTCAGTTCTGCCAAGATAGTCATTTCTTTCTTTACCTCCTTGTTGTCTTGGTAGTGATCTGAAGTAATCAGGTGGCAGCCATAGCTTAAAGTGTAGTGAGAATCTGGGTGTGTCTATTGGTGGAGATATTTCCCACCTGGGAGTTAGGACTTCTAAATCCTCAGACCCCAGACTTGGGATAGGAGGCAGTTTCCTCAACTGGGTCACTTGGACTGGTGGTAATGGGGGACTACACTTACGTCCACTTGTCTCGCAGACCCGTATATTTTGCTTAGGAACATAGCACTTTAGGATGGCTGTTGATCCAGGGCATATACTGCATCCAGGAGCATGGCTCCTCATCTTTACAGGGTATCATCAAGGTGGTACCTCAGCTGTGGCTTCAACTGGCTGTTCATCACTCTACCAGTGGATCCCATGGTTATGTACCCAGTGCCGTACCTCCTTGACATAATGTGGGTCTTGTGGTCCAATGCAATGTTATACAAGATCTCATGCTAATGGATCAAATATTCTGTAAGCCCTTGGCAGACAGCAAAGGCCAACTCATACCCCTAATATACATCACTTCCAGTTAAGATGGAACACTGCCTCTTCCAGGGTGGCAGGGGTTCAATATAATCAACCACCAAGTGGCTAGATGGTTTCTTTGAGGAAGTAGTGACATCGGGGGCTTAGTGTTTGTCTCTATTGCTGGCAAGTTGGACATTAACAGCAGCTGCAGCTAGGTCAACCTTACTGAATCCTTCATGCCAGGCTCACGCATGGCTTTCACCAGGGCTCCTCCATTCATACACCTGTTTTCCCGTCTTTCAGGCGCTAATGACAGAGACTGGCTAATATCAACTCGTTAAGTCATTCAGTGTACTTGATAGTTGGTGTCTTCTGTGGTAGATGTTCTCTGGTGGGCATTAACATGCAGTATAAAGATCATCACACTTTGTACCCATCCCTAGATAAATACCTTTTCCTCAAACTTCCTTGTCTTGAGCCTCCCAGTTTTTCTTCCAACAGGCTCCTGAACAACTAGCAAAGCCATTCACCATTGCCCCCGAGTCTGTATTCTTTCTTCAGGCAGGTGTGCTGCCTGAAGCTCTACTCATTGGGAAGATTTCCTCTCACTATTTCAGGGCCACTTCAAAGTGGGGCCATAGTACCTCCACAGTCTATTTTCAGCTTACTTCTACTTTATGAGAATCCACAGCATTAACCAAGCCCAGCCTTTCCTTTTTCCTTCTTGTCATCTGATAAGGGATTCCCTCTGCTCCATGTGGAGATAGAGGTGAACTGAAGAAGCATTGGGGCAAGAGTGGTGGGTGACGGGGGAGTGGGGTGGGGGTGGTCTGGCCACCTGCTTGTGCACCTTGCTTTTGTCTTCCAGCTCTGCTTGTGCCCAATTCTATATGTATCATTTTCATCTTATGAAGGACTGCCGAGGGACCCATCCGTCCAAGCTTATGACCTGTGGGTCTGACAAAACCCAGGTTATAATAGGCATTTCTGGCTACCTGATCACTTTATGTCCCATAGGCAAGCACTTTGTCTCAACTAGGGCAAAGTAGCATGACATCTGCAATCTTTTGAAATGTAGAATACTCTTTCAGGTGGCATGGCCTAGTTCTAGAACCATTGGGGTCTAAGTGTGACTTCCTATTAATGCTTGTCATAAACAGCATGTGGCATACTTTCCATTACTGACACCTTGACAGAGTAGGTGTGCCATTTGTACCACAATCTGGACCTGCTGCAGAGCCTTTACTTGGTTTGGGTCCCACTCAAAGTTGGCAGTCTTTTGTGTCCCCAATATATGTGTATTCCCAAGTGTGGAATATGCTATCTGTATATTTACAGACCCCAAAGAGGTTTACCAAGCATTGTCTTCCCTTAGTAATGAGATATGAAATTTCCTCTTTACTTTGGAGGAAATGCCATGGCATAGTCCAGACCATTGGACCTCTAAAAACTTCACTAAATATTTGCAGAGTTTATGTACTGTCATTTGAAAAATGTCTATCCTGCCAAGGCCTCCAATGTACTTTTCATTCTTGCTCATCCTGTGCCATTAGAATGATTTTATTAATATAGTAATGGGATATTTTATGTGAAGTCCAGATGATCCAAGTTGCTTCAGATTATATTGTGATAGAGGGTGGGAGAGTTTACATGGTCCAGGCACAAGACTGTAAATATATATTATTGTTTATCTCAATAGTGAAAGCAAATTTTTTATGATTCTTTCTATAGTGCTCAGATTAGTGGCTGCTGACTATGTAACTGAGGCTTCATTAATCTGCTCTAGCGAAGATACCACAGTTGGCACAGCAGATACAATTGAAACTACATGTTGATTGAGATTGCCATAATCCGCTGTCATTTTCCAGGAACTGTCTGATTTTTGTAGAGGCCAGTGGTGACTTAAATGGTGCTATGGTGGGGACCACCATCTCTGTATCCTTTAGGTTTCAAAGGGCCACTAATTTCATATTTTTATTTATTATCTTAGCATGAGATGGTGGAGGCAGTTTCAAGAGCATCATGTTGGCCTTCCTCAGTATGATATCTCTTAACCTATCGTGGTTAATGTAGTTCTGCCAAATATCAAATATGTCCATTTCAATTACCCATTAAGTACCCAGTGAAATGACCACTATGTGGATCTGTGAACCCAGCAGACCCATTGAGAGCCACATCTGGGCCTAGAATACATGTGTTACCTAGCCCCCATACACTGCCACTCTAACAGGGGGCCACGATGATGCTTCAGATCAGTGAGCATTAATGTCATATAAGACCCTGTATCCAACAGTTCTTGAAATGGTTGAATATTACTTTTTTCTTAAGATTTTATTTATTTTTTGTTTTTTAAAAAAATTTTAATGGTATTTTTTTCATTACCATTTAGTTCCGTTTATGCCCATACCCCCCACAATCACCACACTGTTGTCCATGTCCACGAGTCCTTTATCCTTTTTGCTCAGTCCCTCCACCCCCTGCCCCCTCTTAGCTGTCATCTGCTCTCCATCTATGGGTCTGTCTCTGTTTTGTTTGTTAGTACAGTCTGTTCATTAGATTGCACATACGAGTGAAATCATATGGTATTTGTCTTTCTCCGACTGGCTGATTTCACTTAGCATAATGTTCTCCAGGTCCATCATACTGTTGAAAAGGGTAAAACATTCTTTTTCTTTTTTTAATGGCCAAGTAGTATTCCATTGTGTAAATGTCCCATAGTTGTTTTATCCACTCATCTCCTTAGGGACGCTTGGGCTGCTTCCATATCTTGGTGATTGTAAACAATGCTGCAGTGAACATAGGGGTGCTTATGTTCTTTTGAATTAGTATTTTGGGTTCTTCCAAATATATGATTTCATTTATGTTTTAGAGAAGGGGAGGAGAAAAAGAGAGAAACATCGATGTGTGAGAGATCCATCAACTGGTTGCCTCTTGCATGGCCCCAGCTGGCCCACAACCCAGGCATGTGTCCTGATTGGGAATCAGACTGGTGACTTGAGATCACAGGCTGGTGCTCAATCCACTGAGCCATGCCAGTCAGGGAGAATATTATTCTTTCTGCAATGTATATTATGCAAATTAATTATCATAAGTCCCCATTGAATAGGACTGGGGAATTACTACCTATACACTTGTCATGGTATCAGGATCCTTTGTCCTTCAGACCTAACCCTCCTCCTCTGTTGTTTCTAGCTTAAAAAAAAAAATCTGGTTAGAGAAGACTTCCGCTTCCACCTAATGAATCACAGCTACAGATTATATTGTGATATAATCAATTACTCTTACTAT